AAGATGGAGTTTCACTCTGTTGCTCAGGCTGGGGTGCAACGGCATGATCTCAGCTCACTGCAACCTCCTTTAGCCTCCTGGGTTCAAGCAATTCTCCTGCCTCAGCCTCCCGAGTAGCTGGGGCTACAGGCGCCCACCACCATGCTTGGCTATTTTTTGTATTTTTAGTAAAGATGGGGTTTCACCACATTGGCCAGGCTGGTTTTGAATTCCTGACCTTGTGATCCACCCACCTTGGCCTCACAAAGTGCTGGGATTACAGGCATGAGCCACCATATCCAACATCCTACAAACACCCAGAAACTCTGTAGCTTGGCAGAGTCTTCCGCTAGAGTGAGAGTTTGACACTAGATGGTCTCTTGGCTTTGGTTCTTTTCATATGTGCCCATGGGAGTGCAGCTACTGTAGGACACGGGTGGATGCAGAAGGCTGCCTTAGTTTTAAAAATTAATATCCGATCTACTGAGGCCACAAACTCAAACCCCTCAACTTCAGATCTTCTTACACATCTTGCTATTGCATTTGCTAAATAATAAATTTTAAAAATCTCTTCTTAAGGGGCCTTTGCTTGTGTTTGGTTTCATTTATCAATATAGTGAACTGAACTCCTTTAAAGCTGCATTTTAATGCATGGTAAGAAACACAGGTTGATAAAGGAAATCTAAAAAAACAAACTGCATTTTAACATTCAGTATATTGGCTATCCCTTTTAAGTACTTCAACTAACAAACCTCAAGTTCTTTAATTGTTGAAATAAATCACACTTATAGATATGATGGCTCATAAGATATCTTAAAATGTCAAAAGAGTGTATAAGAAAATTTCATTGTAAAATTGCAAGCCTAAGTCACTTATTCAATTGCATAATTTAAAATTGGAATACCAAGGTTAATTTACCCTTTAGACCACATTTTCTTTAAACTTCACACACTTTATCAGATAATTTAACACAACGTTATTACCATGGGTCATAGTCTTTTTTTTAAGAGGGGGTTTCACCATGATGGCCAGGCTGGTCTTGAACTCCTGACCTCAGGTGATCCACCCACGTTGGCCTCCCAAAGTGCTAGGATTACAGGCATGAGCCACCACACCCAGCCTGGGTCATAGTCTTAATATGTCTGCCCTTAATTCTAAACCTTCCTAGGATAAAACAGGCTGTTTTGAGGATGGATACCATCCAAGGGTCCACCACCCAGATGTTATCAATTATTCAAGCGAGAAGGCTCTGGCCTGGCCATTGCCTGGAGTCTTGCTTGTGCCCGTCCTACCCACCTGAGCCCCATTTTATAGGATCTCTCTGCGTGCCTCCAAATGGGGAGGGCTCAGCCTCCGTGTACTGGTTTCAAGTTACATTTCCCCAGAATCCTCAGACTACTCACAGAAGTGTGTGTCTCCAACCAGCTTGCTCCCCACTTAACTGAGCCATCTACTGTCTGCTTCATCCTATTCCGATTTCTGCAAGGGTCACACCTTCTGCACTTCCTCCTATTCTGCTTTCAACAAGGGCCACACCTTCTGCAGACATTCCCATGGAGACGTTCTTTCTGGCTTTGTGTGGCTCTCCGGTGGGGATGCCGAATTAAATAGGTCCCAAGCATATAACTGACTATTCTATATTTCTAGTTACTAACTCTGGCAGCTCTCCCCTTCGGTGATCCTTACATTGGTCATATGAAAACACCACAGGTCATACAGCCTCTGTGCCAGCCACCATCAATACCTGTGCCCACCACGCAGCTGTCCAGGGTCAACATCTTAGGCTCCTCTCTGACTTATTCTCCCTCACCCTCATTTCTAGATGAGTCTAACAAGATTTGCTTTTTAAATTCTGTATTTTGTTTTTGTTTTGAGATAGGGTCTCGCTCTGTCTCCGTCGCCCAGGCTAAAGTGCAGTGGTGCAATCTCGACTCACTGTAGCCTCCGCCTCCCAGGCTCAGGAGATTCTCCTGCCACAGCCTCCCGAGTAGCTGAGACTACAGGTGTGCGCCATCACACCCGGCTAATTTTGTATTTTTAGTAGAGACGGGGTTTCACCATGTTGGCCAGGCTAGTCTCAAACTCCTGACCTCAAGTGATCCACCTGCCTTGGCCTCCCAAAATGTTGGGATTACAGGTGTGAGCCACTGCTCCTGGCTTCTTTCTGTATTTTGAAATTCCATATATTTTTGTCTGCTTTGTTTTTTACAATAAAAGATTCTGCTCTCCCACATAAAAGAAAAAAAAAAACAACAAATAATTCCCCCCCCCCCCCCCCCCCACAAAAACCTCAAGGGTCACAGACCCGTCAACACACAAGGTACCTTTATTGCCATCCTTGGCACTTGGCCCAGTTGTGGCAGTGCCCTTTTGACTGTCTGCCTAGAACGCCAACTCTACAAGGGCAGAGGACCAGGTGCACCTCAGCTCACACCCTGTGAACGCTCAGCTGCAGTCCAGAGCCTGACACACAAGGGCGCCATGCACACTTGCTGAAATAACTAAGTACAAATTCAGCAAGCAGAAGGGAAGAAAAGAGAAAGTATCTATGGTGGTGGGAAAGTGGGGGCTGATGCAAGAGACATATTTTTAAGGGGAATGCCTACCATTCACTTACTATAATAATTCGGCTACATAACACTGCCCCACGTGCACAGCGAAAAATTCCGTTCCTGCCCATGATAGAACCCGTATGTCCCTACTTCATAAGTACTCTAAATACTCCTCTGTAGTTCAAGGTCAAACCGGAAAATCAACATGAGTTTCTGGAAGCAAGTCAATGTGAACCAGGGAGTCAGAGGAACCTGCACACAGCCTGAAGCTAGACTGGCTCACACATGAGAAAGGAGTGTCTCCTGACCTGGCATGATGGTCTTCTTGCATTCCTGGCATTTGGACGAGTACTCGTTGGAATAGCAGTCTGTACAGAGCAGCTGGTCCTCCTTGGCAGCAAAGGGCTTGTCCACCAGAGAGCTTCTGCACTGCGAGCAGTGGAAACAGGCTTCGTGCCAGTGCCGATCCTTGTAGGACAAGTCCTGTGGGGCCAGACCACACAAGACAATCAGAGGCAGGGCAGGAGTGCTTGGACCCACAGCATAGGGGTCCCTTGCGAACCTGCAGAGCAAACAAGGAATGAAGGAGGGCTGGGGCACCCTAATCCACCCACAGTCACACACCAGGACCACCTAACTGCTGAAATCAGCAAGACTAGTCTATTTCTCTCTTGCTGCATTTTAGAGCAACAGGTTAGACAGATGTACATGCAGGCACATGGCTCTGTGTGAAAGAAGCTTCTTAAAAACAAAAGGATTTCCCTTGTATGGCCTACAAGAAAGAGAAACAGAAAACATAAACGCGTATCAATGCGTCTCACACCACATGCAGTGAAGAGAAACAGACTGCAAGAGGAGTTCCTGGGCTGAGGGAGCTCTGCCCAATTGAAATCACTGTGGTCACCAACATGGCAGAAAGGCTCTGCGTGTTGGGATGTTCGGAGGAGGAGGCCCAAGAACTGCTTGGTGGGAGAGGACCGGGAGAGACTGCTCATGTGGGTGCCACTTTTCTGTGGGTAGCAGTGAGCTTGGGGAGGAGGGGAATTTCAGGCAGACAAAGAGCAGACAGAAGATCTGGGGATGGGAAGCATGTCAGGCTGGAGGGACCACAGGTCAAGGGCCAGGTGGGAGGGCCCCCGGCCGGGCTGGTCCGGGACATGTGACTGCCTTTTTGCCTTTTATGCCTGCATGGAGTTTCCGTTGATCCTGAAGGCAGTGGTGAGCTGCTTTTCAACAGGAGAGTGAAGTGCTCAGACTGAGGGGATGGGTAAGGATGTGGAAGTGGAGGGGGGGCGAGGGTGGGAGAAGTGAGACAAAAACTGGGCGCAGATGGGAGAAGCACTGAGAAGACAGACACAAGCTTTTGACTAAAAGATGCGATAGAGAAAGGAGCACCGCAGAAAACTCGACTCCATACTTGGCTTGATCTTGCCTGAGGAGTAAGAGAACCTTCCATATTTGCCTTTTAAAAATGACACACGGCATTTTTAAATTGCCAATACAAAATTAAAATAACAATCTATTTATGTCCAGCTTTATCTTAGAAAGGATATTTTTCTATTGCTATCTTTGTGTTCCCAGCTCTGACCCCAAATCATCATCCATTTATTAATGAGGCAGAAACAGAATATTAGCCTCTGCATAGTTTCCTGGGCCGGCTGCCAGTTGGTAGGTATCCTGAACAGGTCGTGGGAGGGCTGTTCACGCGATGGCCCTGCAGAAGAGCTGCCCACAATGTCTCTGTTACTGAAACGGAAGTCAAAGCCGGAGTTATGCTGAGCGTAGGATGTGAAAACATGGATCCTGGACTTGATTAGAAAGTCCTAAAACACCAACTAAACTCGGAACCCAAACTAGAACAGCTCTCTTTTGCTAAAAATCTCTCTTTCTCTCTCTCTTCCCGTGTGTGTGTGTGTGTGTGTGTGTGTGTGTGTGTTTTTCCCTGAACCAAACTAAAGTTATTTGATTTGGTGTTCTCTTTGCGCATTTTGTTTTAGTTCAAGGAATTTAAAAAATGTGAACTCTCAGCCACTATGAAGACAGTTATGACTGTGGCCTCTGTGAGGGGCACCCTCTCGCACTATCCCTGTTGGAAGTTTGCTTCCTAGAACATCTGGAAATAGGATTATTGCTGATGCAAGATGATAAAGAACGAAGATGAGGCCGGGCATGGTGGCTCACGCCTGTAGTCCCAGCTCTTTGGGAGGCCAAGGCGGGTGGATCACCTGAGGTCAGGAGTTTGAGACCAGCCTGGCCAACATGGTCTATCCCTACTAAAAATACAAAAATTAACCAGGCGTGATGGTATGTGCCTGTAGTCCCAGCTACTTGGGAAGTTGAGGTGGGAGAATCACTTGAACATGGGAGGTAGAGGCTGCACAGCCTGGGCGACAGAGGGAGACTCTGTAAAGCCATATTGAATGCCGTTGTTTCTGTGGAATTAGTTCTTGTCTAAGCCCAACACCTCTGGGTATCATGGGTCCCGTGAGGTAGGCACTGCCTCTCAGGGGAACTCAGGGGGAGCTTGCTGAAATCCCCAGGCCCTCTCCATCCTTGAGAATCCAAACTGGATATGGACTGGGAGTTGGGGGCAAAGTGCTAACCTGTCGTTTGTATTTTTGGCTTAATGTATTTTAAGAAATCTGAGGGGAAAATCACCTGTGCTTTATTGGTTATTTTGACAAATGAAATTGCGTACAAATTGCTTTGATTGGAGTTGATGTCTACACATGCAAACTCCTGATAAACTGCAAAGCCCACAGTCCCTAGGGACATCATCATCGTTCGGGAGCAGGCACGGTCTCCATTCTTTCCATGCACATGCCCCAGCTTCAAAAAGACATCTGAAGCACTAGTGATGACCATCATGACCCCGTCTGTGAGCTCCAGGCATGGCACAGCCCCGCAAGGTAAACGTTATTACTAAAGGTCAGAGAAGTTCCGTAACTTGCCCAGTCATATACCTGGCACAGAACTAAGCCAGGCTTCGAGCTCAAGTCCTCCTGATGCAAAAGCTATTTCCACTGAGCCAGCCCAGACAAAATCCTGGTCGAGGCTGTGTGACTCTTTGCTTTCAAAACAGGTAGCTTTGAGGAGATGTGTGTGTGTCCATTAAAAAAAAATCCAGAAACGACCAAACTCTGGCAACTTTTGAGAATGTATTTTGTACCTAAATAAATGTGGCTCAGCATTGCCTTTGTTTAGACTTTGAATAAAATTGAAGAAACCATTAGAACCCCTATCCACCTAAAACAGTAATCAGCCTAATTTAAGAAGAGATGGAGATGTTAATCATGTTATCACTGTCAGAATGCCGACTATGGAAGAAATGTGTTAAGAATAAATTTTCTATGGAAAACAGTATGGTAGTTCTCAAATATTAAAAGTAGAATTACCATATGACTTGACTCAGCAATTCTACTTTTAGATATACACCCAAAAGAATTGAAAATAAGGTCTCAAAAAGACATTTGGACACGTTTACTGAAGAATTATTCATCGCAGCTGAAAGGTAGGAACAAGCCAGGCATCCATCCACAGGTGAAGGGGTAAACAAAACGTGTTCTATGCAATAAAAATGGAATTTTATTCAGTCTTAAAAAGGAAAGGAATTCTGACTCACACTACAACATCGATGAATCTTGAGGACAAGATGCATTGTGAAATGACAAATCAGTCACAAAAGGACAAACACTGCATGACCTCACACATATGAGATACTTAGGGAAGTCACACTCATGAAGACAGAAAGCAGAAGAGTGGCTGCCAGGGGCTGGGATGAGAGGGGAATGGGAGTGAGTATTTAACCCATTCATGCCCGAGGATGCAGTTTTTTGAATTTTTGCAATCAGACCTTGGCAATGACCTTGAGCAGTAGAATATACATAACTCCCACATGCTTAGCATTCCAATAATGGAATACCAGGCATAAATGGGTTTGATGGGGACAATATTTCAGTTTTGCAACAAGCAAAAGCTCTGGGGACTGGTTACACAGCAATCTGAATGCACTCACTACTCAACAGCACACTTAACAGTGGTTAAGATGATAATTGTGATGTTCTGTGTATTTTTCCAGAATTAAAAGAATCAAAAAGTACGTTTTGGCCAGGCAGGATGGCTCATTCCTGTAATCTCAGCACTTTGGGAGGCTAAGGCATGTGGATCACCTGAGGTCATAGGTTTGAGACCAGCCTGGACAACATGCTGAAACCCCGTCTCTACTAAAAAAACAAAAATTAGCCGGACGTGGTAGTGCGCGCCTATAATCCCAGCTACTCAGGAGGCTGAGGCAGGAGAATCACTTGAACCGAGGAGGGGAGGGCGGAGGCTGCACTGAGCCAAGATTGTGCCATTACATTCCAGCGTGGGTGACAAGAGTGAAACTCTGTCTCAAAAAAAATGGTCAGTTTCCACCTTTCCAGAACTTATCTGTGTCCCCCTGTGCAGGCGAGCCACCTCATGGAGGACTGCTCGTTTGGGGAAAAACTGCAGAATGTTTTCCATGACTCACGAGTCACCGTCCAGCTGAGACAAGAGACCCAAGGAGCAGGCGTGGGGAGAGGCGAGGAGATCCTTGGCCTCCCTCTGGGAAGATGGTGACTGCCACACATCAGGTACCCTGCCCAGAGAGCAGGCATTGCGCACAGTGGGGTGGCAAGTTATCAGTGACAAAGGAAGGAAAGGAGATACAATTTCTAGGAAATGTGCCTTTGGGGGCTGACCTTCAAGAAAAACTGAAGGAGAAAAGTCCAAGGTCAACGACATGAGAGCGAAGCCACCAGATTTCACCACAGCCCCCGCTCTGATCACTGAGTCCCCAGACAGAGGAAAGGGTGCCTGCACAGACATGGGAAAGCTGGCTAAGATATGCACACGGATCCAAGGCATTGCAGAATTCCATTTTCCTACGGTTAATATTTATGTCACAAAAATGCAATAGCTACAGTTTAAGACTGATTCATTGACAGACACATGTGATACTTGAAATTGTCCCTCTAAATGTGGATACTGTCCACATGTTGCTGGACTAAGCATCCAGCCAAGACTTGGAGGCCTACCACAGGCCCAGCTGGTCCCTTCCACCTGCTCTCTCGGACCCCACCTCACAAGGTGCAGGCTGTGTTCTCCCAGGACAACCTGCTCTGCTGTATTCCCTGGGAACCACTTTGCCTTGGCTCCTGCCAGAAGCTGCCCTTTCCCTTCAAGGCTGGTGTAGAGTGGACACCTGAAAGTGCTCCCCATCCCAATTGGGTTGGGGCATGCAGAGATCCAGGTTTTGTCGCAAGAAACAGAAGACAGAGTGCCTTCCACAAAGCGCCTTTTCCTGCCCAGGGCTGCGTTATCTCGGCATCATTCCCTGGGGCCGTCTGCACTTAGCCGCACAATGTTTCTCTTAGCTACCTCTATGAATTGCACACACACGCATTCCTGAGTGAATATGCATGAAGCAGTTCCTAGTTCTAAAATATTCTACAGGAAAC